CCCCTGATGTCCGCACGTGCGCGGCACCTCCTCCGCCCCCAAGTGTAGCTGGGACCTCTGCCTGGGGCCTCTCCACCCCGCGGGGCAGCGGGGCAGCCGCCCGCCTGCCTTTACCTGCCTGGAGACCCCGTGGAGCTGCGCCTCCGCAGACCTAAGGAACAGCAACCGCCGCAACCGCTGGGGCCTGCACCGCAGTCCCAGTCCGGCTGTTGTCGCGGGTTGCTAGGCGACTCGGGCCGCGGACGCACGTCGGGCGGGGAAGCGCGCGCTCGCCGGCCCGCGGGGGTCGCGGTCTCTACCGGCGTTATCCTTCGGTTCCAAAGAGTCCCTTGAGTTGGGGCAGGATAGACACTGGAATCCTCTTCCTAGCCACTGAGGTCCACCCCAGGTGAAAACTGGGAACCGGGAGGCGGTGCGGCTCGGATTCCGGCGGAGGGCTGGCTCCGGACCTGCAGACCCCGAGAAGCTCGGTGCGCTCCCCACTGCGGACCCCAGTCGGGGTCTCGGTGCAGGCCGCTCCCAGCCCCGCGCTGCCCGGACTTCGCTCAGCTGCAAACCCGCTGTACCCACCTTTCTACTGGATACTACAGTATCCCGCCCAGGTTACTACAGTATCCAGCCTTTCCCCGCAGAATCATCCCTTCCCTTCAAAACTTCTTTTTGCCTCGTTTCTTTTCCTCTTTCTGCCATTCCTTCCAAATGCCTAGAACCTCAGTTTCCCTTCCTCCTTCTCCACCAACTCCAATCAGCGCTTGAGTCAATTGGCCAAAGTTTTTATCCTCTATTTTGCCCCCTCTGATCTCACTGTCACCCCAATCCAGGGCCTCCTAACGACTTCTCTCTGCTTCCAGTTTTTTCTACAGACCATTGACAGATCAACCGTCCAGAAATCTTCCCTGTCCTGTGTCACTTCCCTCCTCAGATTTCACTGGCTTCCTAAAATATGCTCTAAACTCATTAGCCTGGCGTTCAAAGCTGCCTGCCCATCCCTATTCTTTCCTGAGGCTTATTTCCCACGACACAGGCCCCAAACTTACTGCCCCCCCAATTGTTTCCATAGTTTGTCCTCTCGATGTTTGCTCACTCCGTTCCTTCATCATCTATTCAACGAATATTTAAGAGGTTATTAGTTGCAGGTCATGCCTGTGTAACATGGAATACTCTTTCTTTTCTACTTAATTAAGCTCAGATTAAGGGATATCTTCATAAAACACTGATTTTTTGCAAAAAAATCTCTCCCTCCCCCAAATCCCTCTGACATGCTCTGTCTCCCACCTGCTTCCGTTGGTCCTCCAACCCTGAGTGATGATTTTTACTGCTACTACTTTCACGTCCCTTTATGTCTCCTCTCACCTTTTAAATTACCTGATAAATAGCTTTTTATATATTTTGCAACTCTTTGTACTAAATTTTCTACAGTCAAATAACATGCGACTTGTCTCCTGATTGGACCTTGAATAGTGCACCCCCGGATCCAACCTCTCTGTCTCTTCCGAGACTTTCCCTTTCAGTGTATGTGACGTCTCTTCTGTGCCTCGTGCAAAATCAAACAAACAAACAAAAACTGGAAAAACAGAAAAAACCCTCCTTCAGTCCTGTGTCTCCTTCTACCTATCAAGCCATTTTCTCTTCTTGACCATGACTTTCCAAAAAAGTGCCCTGCACTTGATACTTCCACATTTTTAACCTCTCATTCACTCTTCAAACTATACTCATCTAGTTTGTTCCCACCAATAAAATTACCCAAATCCATTGGCTCTTTCTTAGTCTTTATCTTCCTTGACATCACTGCTGCATATAACACTCAGGGTGGTACCTCATATTTGAAACACCGTCCTTGGTTTCCTTGGTACTATTTGCTCTCGACCTCCTAACCTTCCTGACTATTATTTAAGGTCTTTCTTCACACCATCGTAAATGATATTTCCCAGGGATCTGTCCCGGCTCTCTTTGCATACTATATGCTTTTCCAGGGTGATCTTTTTCAGACTTGTGATTTCACTGCCATATATTCAGCTCTAAATCAGCCTCCAATACTGAGCTCTAGGCTTATGTATCCATCCCCTTACTGGACACCTCCACCTGGATGTTCACAGTCCCCTCAAATATCAACATTACCTGCCTACACTTATCACCTTCCCAATATAAATGTGATTTCTTTATCAAGTGGTATTAAGCTAAACCTCTTTAGTTAGATGAGTATGAATTTGTAAAAAATATAAATACAGAAATTTTAAAGGAGGAAATGATGAGGACATCACTTTCTGCATCTGAAAACTCCTGATAGGTAGGTTGATATAATAGTAGAAGTAAAAAAAAATTTTACACATTCTCAAAAAAAGACATGAAAAAATTTCTGCCTACCTAGGGGACAGGGGGGTAAATATTCTGCTTAAATGACAAATAGCTTCTTCCAAGAAGAAAAGTTCATTTATCTGCTTTACCTTAATTTTTTCATGTGACACTAACTTAAGCTTGATTTTAGAGAAAAAAAATACTGTCTATTAAGTTTTAAATTTTCAGGAGTCACTCAGTTTTCCTGGGTCTCCCTTGTGTATATAGGAGGCATAGTCATTTGTTTTTATCCTGCTAAAACTTTTTTCAAACTTCTAAATGAGCAAAATACCTTTAACTATATTAACAAAGGATTGCCACATACCAGATTTCCTAGATGAATCTAAATTAGCATATCAATTGTCATGTAAATGATGCTTCTGCAGTGCTGTAAACATGAATTCTAGTAAAACCTAATTCTTGAATGGAAAAATTGAATAATCTTTTTACTATGTTGTCATTCAATTGTTAAACTATTTGTACTCTTTTTTACATTATGACTAACAATCTAAGGGATAAGATACATGAAGCCCTTTAAACTATGAACCACCAGAATAAGGTAAGGGAAAGTTGCTGTAATCTGTGGTTTAACTAAGTGCTACGGCATTGGTCATTATTTAGGGGTGTCATCTCTCACTTCTGTGTCTGGTAATAGTAAATCTTCCCAGTCTATACCATGAAGTTCAAGTAGCTGAAGACAAAAAAAAAGTATTGATGGCATTTGAAGACTAAAACCTCCTTAAGCCCCAAGTTATTTTTTCTTGGTTTTTGACCTTAAATATACACTTAGGGAAATAGATGCAGTCTGTCTGTCCTGGACACCAACCTGCCAGTTCTAAGATGCCATGTAGTGATAAATTTTCTTTACTCAAAGAGAGGTCTGGCCTTTGTCCCTGTTCCTGGGAGTCACCTTTATACCCTTGGAATGTCTCAAGTAATAGGAATGTGTTGTTAGTCACAGTGGACCCCTACGCCACACCTAATAGTTTATGTTAATGAAATGACTCATGATGGACACCTGATAGGTTACCCTAAGAGATGGCTCAGTGTGGGGTCCCTACTTACATGAAAAGACTTAAAGTGAGGACTGGCCACACCAGAAAAACTAATCATATAATTAGAGGGTTGGAACTTTGAGCCACAGACCAGTTTGATCTCCAAGGACGGGAGAAGGCTAGAGGCTGAACGTAACCATGTGGGCCATGACTCAGTCAACCATGCCTCCTTAATGAAGCCTCAACAAAAGCTCTGGATAACAAAGCTCCAATGAACTTCTTAGGTTGGCGACACTCCATGTGTGTATTGTTACACGGAGACACCAGGACAATAATGCATCCCTGAGTACATGAAAACTTCAAGACTGGAAGGTCAGCAGGTTTCAGCGTGAGGTTATTCTGTGCTAAGTACACTCAAGACTGACAGTCTCACGGCCCATCTTCTTAGCAGGAAGCGAGTGAAGAATTTCCTCAGAACCCACTCAGGGCCTCGTAGCTTCCCTTAAACTGAGTCTCTAGTTGGTGACCCACCTCGGTTTGCAACTCTTGGTTTCCAAGGTCAGTTGCTCTACACGTACTCAGTGGGGGCCCAGCCCTCAGAGTCCCCACACAGTTCTCCTGCCATGTTCTCAGCTCCCAGCACCACGCATGGACTGCCTCTCAAAAAACAACATTGCCGATTCTCACCACCATGAGTGCTCCAATTTATTTAAAAAGAATGGGGTTTTCCCAAGTAGGATTTGTTAACTAGAACTCAATTCATATCAACTCTTTACATTTCCGTGAACATCATCAGAAGTTGCATACCTGGCCTCAGGGGCAGGTTTTGTTGCACCTGATCGGGAACAGTATGAAAGTGGGCACAGGGTCTCGGAGGGGCCCACACAAAGGAGGAACCGAGGTTGAGGTGCCATTAGCTTTGTGGCCAATCCACCTCATCCTTATTTAGAGACCTGACTCCCAGTGGGGGCACTGTACTTGCTTTGCAGTGAAACGACTTACCGTTTAAAAGCAGCATAGCATGAGGAAGAATATGAGTGATGAAGTCAGAAAGATCTGGGTTCAAAGACCAGCTCTGTTTGTTTCCTTGCTTTGTTCCCCGCTCAGAGTAAAAGTAGAGGTAACAGTACATCTTTTACATGTGTGTTGTGAAGACTACAGAGCTGGCATGTTTTACTCCACACACGTGAAAGTATAAGGCTGTTCACTCAGTGAATAACGTATCCGACTCCCATTCAACAGTCTCCATGAGAATTTGGTGTGCATGACTGAAATGCACCTTGTGCAGAGGCAAGTGAGTTATTAACTTGCCAAACACTAAGAGGCACAGAGCATGCAAGTATACACATATATTCCAAAGTAGTACAAATGTAAAAAAAACCACCATCAAAAGTAGAACCATGCTCAGCCTGAACCGGCAGCTCACAGTTCTTTACCTCCGTATATGGAAGGGACGCGAGCCAACGCAGACGACAACGGCCTGATGCGGCAGCAATACAAGAGGAGCACGCGGACGATCTGCAAAGCTCTCAGGTACCTCTGCCTCCTCGTGACACATGTTCCCCTCTAACCTGAGTCCCACCCCTTAGAGCACACCTCCAGTCCCAGGTGAGAATCACACCTTTCACAATAATTAAGGCAAAATACGGAATTTATTCAGTTGACTTGACCAATCATATTGGATAAAAGTGTTGGTTTCATTTGCACGATGTAAAAAAATACTTTAAGTAGGAATAGTCACATATTTATTTACAATGTTAAATATATATAAGAAAGAGTCATGAGGGCATTTGATATAAAACATACATAGTATGCTATTTTAATATACAAATGCTTGAAAGAAAATAGTCATAGGAGGTATAAAAGTAGCATCATTAAGATTTGACAAAAGTTTCCGCTTTTCGTGAAGGTCACATTCTCATCCTTTGGGATGTACAGAAATTATGTGGTTTACACAGTTTTATCCACATTCAAAACGTCGTGTTTTAAATGTCTTAAGCATGGCACGTACGGTACAAATGTTTCCATAGGAACACAACAGAACCCGGCACTACTGGCCTGCTGCCAGGTGGCGCCGCACTGGCCAGCGAGCCACTTTCGAGACACTAGTTCAGCTTATTGCTACAATATTCAAGTTGTTCTATTCACCCAAAACACAATAACTTTAATTTAAACTAGAATCTACTGACACAGGCTCAGAGAGTTAGCATATATTATATACTGATATATACAAAACAACTATTCTGCATTAAATGAACTTCCCATACTTAAGTTAGAATCAAGAATAGTAATTTGAGGCTAATATATTACTCTTATAATTGGTATTTTTAAAAATTTGAACAAAGTGCACAGTGAATGACATCAGTCACCAGAAATGATCCTTCTATGCATGCTTAACTTCCTCCCCTTCACTCACACCACCTGAGAAATGAGAACCTTCCGCCCTGGCGGGTACCTGGGCCGCTCCACAAATCAAACACACAGGAGCCACATGGAGTCACATTCATGAGTCACGGGAGCCCGCAGTGCCAGCTAGTAAATGCTCCAATGCACTAGACAGAGCCCCTGTGTAGAGTCAGCAGAACAAGCTTCCAGGAGATAAAAGCTGAGCCTTAATTTAGAGCAAACGATGTCATCAGTCAGCCATATTCTAATGTTGGTGGACCCCGGACAAGGTTGAAATAGCCAGCCAGGGCTCCAAGGTCAATGTAGAGAGAACGCTGTCTCTTTAGCATCTCAGATTCCTCCGTGCTTCCTGTACATGAAGAATCTGAAAAGGGAAACATTGAAAACATAAGATAAATGACCAGGAAACATGTTCAACACTAAATACATGTTTCTTCTGCAAAAAAATAAAATACAATAAAATAATAGGTTGGGCCTAATGAAACAGCATTCAAGCCCTGGTTTTACTAAAGAGCTACAGAACTGAACACCATGTACTAATTCACGTAACATGTCATACACAAGAGACTTCAAAAAAGAGTCAATGACAGCCAGAAATTAGTTAGAAATCCTTGTATATTTCCCAATGCTCCAGATGGTTCTCTTTAAATATGGAGAAGTCAGACAAGAAGCACAGAAATGCAAACAAGCATTCCAGGCTTGACATCTGGGTTTGGACCTAAATGGATTAAGAATGCCACAGATTTAATAACAAAAATAGAACTCCCTCCCACACATACTCAAAGCTCTGGGAATATGTGCCAATTCTCTAAATGGGAGAGACTTATAGCGGTTTAAGCAGAGGAAGACAGAAACACAGCTTGACTTCAAACAATACTTCATCTGGGCAGCGCAGTGCCTTGACGTTTCCGAGCAAGGACTGGTGTGGCTTTTACCACAACTGCACTTCACAGAACCCCACTCTCTACCAACAGCAAAACTGTCCTGCTCGATCGGCTTTTGAAGGCAAACGCTACTCTGTGTTGCATAAAGGCAAGTCAGACGCAATTCTCAATGACTCTGTTGCCTACACTTGCACTTAAAACCTATTACAACTGGCTGGTAAATTAATCATTTATTAAAAACGCTTTCGCTAACATTCTTGCTGAAATCTCTCAAAGAACTCACGGCAGTGAAGAAGTCGCTTTATTCTTTTTTCCAAGTGTGTTCACACTCCATCAGCGGAGTGATGGTGACAGAGAGAGAAGGGACGCCAGGCAGCACGCACAGCGGGGTGTCCATACCTGCAATGTTCTCCGGAAGTTCCAACTCCTTCCTACTCAGCAGCCTCTTCCGCTCAAAGAGGGCAGAGTCCAGACTCTGACAGCGTGGCTGGTCCTCTCTCGGGGGGTTCAGGGCCACATGTTTCAGTAGGTCTGCTGCCCTGGGGCGGTGATTGGGGTTCCTCTCCAGGGCAGCCTCTATCAGCTCTCTCATGCCGGGGCTGCAGTCGTCCGCAATATCCTCTAATGGAGGGGCCTGTTTGTGGATCTATCAACAAACCAGCCCTCTCAGTACATGTAAATAAGCATCGGTACCTGAAACCACCCGCTCCAGAGGAAAAGTATTCTATTCACAGGGACTGGAAACTCAGCCATCTCCCACCTAATGCCCTGCAGCAAATACAGTTCATACTCTGACACAAGCTACCCTTTAATTTCCTAAAACACCAGGTTAAACCCATCTTTTGGTGCAGTGAAGAGGTATATACTAGGTTTGAATAAACACCAACAGCTTTATATCTCAACAGTGGCCCCAGGGTCACCATGCCGTCCTGAGGAAGTATCTGTTCCTAAGTCTCCCAACAATAAAATGGGAGTTGCATGTTTCACTACAGGCCAACCTGGTGTGGGTATCTATAACCTAATACTTTTTTTTAAGTGTTCAAAGAACATATACAACTGCTTTGGCTCAAAGATTTATGCAACTCTGAGGCTACTAAATAGCATTTTATTATTACATGTTTAACAGAATAGCATATCATTAATGCCCAACATACATTTTAGTGAGTTCCCACTAAACTAGCAATGCCTTCTTTGCAAGAATGAGGCTTCCTCCATGTGGGAAGAACTTTCGGCTGCCTCTCGTGGGCCACTAGCTCACCACCATCGCACTCAGGAAGGAGAGCAGCTTTCCTGAGCAGGTGGAATCCCACCCCCTTGAGTCCCAGGGACCCCCACTTACAATGTACAGGTAGGAAGGGTAGGCTGAGCGAGGGTAGCGCTTCACCCAGGGTGGGGTGCCGGTCTGCATGTGGATGAGCGTGGCCCCCAGGCTGTAGATGTCTGCCTTGGTGGAATGGCCCCTGCACAGGATCACTTCGGGGCTCATGTAAATCTGAAAAAGCAGCAGGAAACATCGGTTTGACTGCCCTCATTGTCTGGGTCTCCTCAGTCCAGTTCTGGAAGGTGGCTCATTCACTGGTACCATATCTATTGCACCTTCATCCCTTCAGGGAAGCGCCATTGCTGCGCTCCTGTAAGCTGAGCAGGGTTAACAGCCAGCCACCTGGGATCCCCGCTCATCAGAGTTCTGCAAAGCACTGATGCATGTCTAATGTTTCTGCTAAAACACCACTTCCTTCCACGTTTAAGTGGACACCACAAATATTCTTCACTTCCTGTTTGTTACTAAATGGCCAAACCTCTAATTACCTGCAGTAATAAAAAGTGGTAGAAGCCCACATGGTATTAACACTGATCACTTGAAAGAGAAAAACTTTAAAAAGTGAAATGTAAAAGTGATCCTAATTAGTCATTTCTATGAACTAGTTATTTCTACCTCCCATGCAGCCCAGTCACTAAACATTCAAGGCCATGTTAATACTGTGTCAGTTCAATTTGGTTTCAGGAGTCTCTGCTTGGAAAGTAGGGCTAGATTTAGAAGTAGTTTCTCGAAGTGTTTGTTTCTACACTTAAAAAAGAAAGAGAAAAGGAGAACAGACCCTGGTGCCCAATGACCTGTATTTATGGCTGGTCCAGACATATCTTAATGAATAATATTTCACTTTAAGAAATTCTATATTGTCTGTTAGGGGACTAATGAAAAAGAGTAAGTGTTCCCAGAATACATATCGGAGTAAATAAGTAAAGAACCGGCTTACAGAAACTGGGGAAATTGCCTGGTTTCCCCATCTAAACCCCGCCCAACTACTTCCTACAACACACTTCTCGGCTGGCTCTGGTGCTCACTCTCTCTTAGCAAACGGGCCAAACCAATCTTCTTGTTCTCAAACTTCCCCTGAAGCAGGAACAGGTCCTGAAGGACCTTCTTACTCAACACCATCACAGAGTAATGCAGTAGTGGGATTCACTGTCAGTTAGGGGATGCCCCACCCCGCAACAGAAGGATCAGGCGAAGTGTTTACTGTTGGTGGAACCCACAGCAGTGGTGCAGCGGGCCTCCGCAGGCTCTATGGGACTAACATCTGGGGACAGCGGTGCCCTGTCCACCTGGTGATCTGGCTGCTGCCCCTCAGGCAGCTTGCCCAGAGCTGCAGGGCCCAGCAGCTCAGAGGCCCCGCTTCCTCAAGTTCTGCAAGAGCCAGGGTGGCAGGGCACGGAGCCCGTGGACTCCGCAGGCTGGCTGACATGACACGGGGATCAGCGCGAGGCTCTGAGTGAGACACCCTTGGGCATGGGCACTGGCACGGGGAACTGGGTGTCACGTCGGGGGTCAAGGCCCTCACTTCTCAGCACATTTATCAGAAAGGGAAAGAGACTGTGTGTGTATGTGTGTCCATACATATGATGATTACATGTGAACTTACATAAAGACCAAGGATTGAAATCAAAAGAATATACAAACTTTCTAAAAAGGACCATACTATAACAGTGATTCTAATTAGCTACCTACATTTCTTATGTATTCCTTCTCTGCACCATATAATTAAAAACAATAGATTAAATATATACCAGATTAACCCTGTATACAGGGGTGGACAAAAGTAAGTTTACAGCTGTAATACTAATAAATAATATAATAATAAATAGTACAAGAATAAACTCTGTGTTTCAAGTGCTCTAAACTATAAACCTACTTTGCCCACTCCCACGTATTATGTGGTTACAGTATAATGTTCTGAATGTAAATGCTGAGAGAGAGAGGCAGAGGGCCCACAGAGAAGACTAGTGTCTGCACTGATGAGCTATATTGCAGGGACCAAAAATCATCTACTGCTATGAAGTAATCAAGTGAATAAGTTCCAATGGAAAGCAAATCCATACAGTTGACCTTGACTCACTATATCTTAATGAGTCTTTAAGTTTGAGAAAAACAAACTCGCTGATAAATGTCCACTGGTGACTTCACAACCTTGCTCATGATCAAATATCAGCTCCTAAATACCACACAGATAGTAGACGTAGGCTAATTTAGAAGAAAGTTTATAACTATCAACTCTAAACACCAAAGCTAATTGAAGCAATTTACATTTGGTTAAAATGAGCAAATTCATTCATTATGCGAGGGTGGTAAGATGAACTCATATTCGAGCACACATTCCTTTTGTGCCAGAGAATCCCAGAAAGGACACGTCTTCCTCCAGACATTGCAAAATGTTCAGTTTGATCATTATGCCAGGAAGAAAAAGGTATTTTCCATTTTTAATACCATAAGTAGTTTGTTTCTCATGCTGGCTCCAGGAAAAAATGATAGTGTCACGTATCTGAACTTCTGACTAATGCCAAAATATGCTGAACATTTTCCACACAAAAAGTCATCGGCATTGAGTATTATTAGATTTTGTGCTTTGGTGAAGTATTCTTAAGATCCTGGGCTAAAGCATTAAAAAAAAAGTCTACAGTTTTCTCTTGTGAATATTATTCTGCTCCAAGATGACTATCAAGAATCCTCTCTCAAGTATTTCCCAGAATAACTTCAGTAATATCAGCAAAAACAAGGATTTCTTCTGCTGCTCGGGATAGTCTTTGCTTTCCAAGAGTTAAGAAAAGGCTTACAGCCCTGACCGGTGTGGCTTAGTTGGTTGGGCATCATCATGCAAAGTGAAACGTTGCTGGTTTGATTCCTGGTTGGGGCGCATGCCTGGGTTGTGTGCCTGGTCACTAGTTGGGGAACATGAGAGATGCAACCAATCAACACATCTCTCCCTCTCTTTCTCCCTCCCTTCCCCTCTCTCTAAAAATAAACAAAGTCTTAAAAAGAAAAAATAAAAGGCTTGCAGAACCTTGTTTTGAAATGAAGTTTGGTTTTTTTTTTTTTTTTTTTGCATTGCCATTGAATTCAGTGCACATCTACCAGCTAGACTAAAGGTTGATACTAGGTTGAACACTAAGACTGACCTGGTCATCTTGAGGCAAAGTCCCCTCCCTCCATGATCTGGGGCACTTCCAGTAGAGAGAAAGGCATGGGGTTGGGAGGCTGCTGGTTAAGCACCCACTACAGTGGAATGGGCGAGGGAGGCAGCGACTACACCTATGTATCTTCCCAATTGTATCTCCCATTGGCCGTTATAACCAACTGTGAACTAAACTGTTGCTCCGTTAATGATCCAGGTAAATTTAACACAGTTCCCTCTACAGTAGCCTACCAGCTAGCAGAGGCTCAACCAGGCACTTGACATGTGAATCAACTATCAGCTTAATAATGTGGATGTTAAATTAATTTTTTCTGAAAACCCAGGAACATATTTCCATGAGCCTCATTTAGATTCAGGAAAGTTTTGTTTTGGTTTTGCTTTATTTTGCTTCCCAAATAGAAGTATTATAACTAGTTCACATCATCCATAGAATTTATTTATGCTATAATAAACTTGAGGTTTATTATAAGATCCCTAGGATTAAAGATAGACCTAAAATGTTGTCAGTCATCAATTAACAACTATGAGAATTGTGGCTGTAAATGAACCAAAACAGTAATGTGTAAAAACACACATTAGCTATATTATAAATGTATACAGTGGTTAGATCTTAGACTTTAGACTCAGAAGAAAACTGGGTTCAGGTTCCAGATCTGTAACTAGCTGAGAAGCTATGGGCACTTTATTTTAAACTCTTCAATCTCATTTGCTTATTGTAAAACGGGAATCATAACAGTACTTGCCTACGATAACAGTATTTACCAACGAGAGGGTTGTGCTGAGGATCAAAAACCATTCACTTACAGCACCAGAGCGAGCACATGGCCCAGAGCAAGTCCTCATTAGGTATGTTCCAACGGTAATAAACATTTAATGCAATGACTTTTCTCCCCCTCTTTGTCCTTTCTGCAGTAATGCTAGAACATTTTTTATTTTTACTATATAAAATATTGACCATTCTCGTGGGAATATAATTATACCTCTGTTCCGCGGAGGTCCTTAGGGAAATAGATATCTTCAGTCATCTGAACACTGAGGCCAAAATCCACCAAGACGGCTTTTGTGGACATGAAAACAATGTTGCTAGCTATAAAGAGAAGAACATTTTTAGTATAAAATTGTCTACATAGACATAAATAAAATGAAAACACTATCTAAAACAGCAAGTCCCAAATCAGAATAGATTGAGAAGCTTTCTCTACTGAAATGGGTGTAAGATAGTCAAAAAAGGAGGCTAAGAGCGTAGGCGGAATCACTTCAGATCTGTCGGGAATTCAGCCGAGGTGGACATAAATGACTGCAGTCCCTAACGACATTCTAGATCCAACAGCTAAGACATGGAAACTACCTGAGTGTTCACTGACGGAAAAACGGGTGTGATCTGTGTGTGTGTGTAACGGAATGCTATCCAGCCACAAAAAAGGAGGAAATCTTGCCATTTGTGACAAGCTAGATGGAACCTGAGGGCATTGTACTAAGACAGAGAAAGGCAAACACGGTGTGATCTCACTTCTATGTGGAATCTAGAAAATCCCGCCTCATAAAAACAGAACAGACCGGTGGTTGCCAGAGCCAGTGGGTGGGGAAAACAGGTGAGTGTGGTCAAAGGGGAAAAGTTGCAGTTACACATGAGTAAGTTCTGGGAGAGTCACACGCAGCACTGTCACTAGTTAGCAAGGCCACATGGTACATCAGAAGGTTGCTAAAAGAGTGGATTTTAAAAGTTCTCACCACCTAAAACAAATTGTAACTACATAAGGTGATGATCATTAGTTAATTAACCTAATTGTGGTAATCGTTTTGCTATTATATATATATATATATCAATTCATTACACTGTACACTTTAAACATATACAGTGTAATATGTCAATTACATCTCAAGCTAGAAAAAAACACAATAATGACCAAGAGCTTGAGTTTCAAATTCTATGACATAAGCATATTATCAAGCCACTTTCTAAAACAAAAAAAGTAAAATACCCATTTTTCTCAGTGAAAGTTTTGCTAGTCCCATTGATCTTTAAGGGTCCACAGTGGGTTTCTCTCGCACATTTCCCCATCATCACTTACTCCTAGAAAGCGGTCATTGAAGGCTTGTTGAATAAATGATTGCCAAATTGATGTTCAAAATTTAAAATCTATTTGTTTCTCAGAAAGATGTAGATGTGTGTGTGTGTTTAAGTAAATTTGTATTTTAAAAGCCATAAAGGCAGAGGCAGCACTTAATAGATGTGCGGCTCTCATCTTTCCCACGACTGGATAGGGACCGTTCCTCATGATGCTGAAAGTCCAGTGACTCCTCCTGATTCTAAAAGGTGTTTTGGAAGCACAGAGGAGGAAAGTACCAAGTGCTCCCAGAAAGCTGTGCTCCCTGCCACTGAGGATCTTTAGATTGAAGAAGGAAAGCACCCATTTGCCTCCTGTCTAATGAGTCTCTTTAAGTCAGAAAGGTACATATCCAAAGATAACTCACGTTTAATATCATGGTGAATCACTTTCTTTGAGTGTAGAAAATCAAGTCCCTTGAGAACATGCTTTGTCACCCAAATAATTTCAAATTCTCTCATTGGTCCACAGCTCTCCAGTTTCTCCAGAACAGATCCGCCCTCGCCTGCTTCCATAAAGAGATGGACAGTTTCACCCCACAGGACGGCACCATATAACTCAGCGATGTTCTCGTGCCGAAAACAAGCTTGGATTTCCACATCAGATGGCTTAAATTGATCTACTGGAATCTAAAATACAAAAATACCAGTAAGATTCTATGCAACCCCAGGTCAATACAGGTTCCACACCCACAGACATGGAGGGCCAACTAAAAGGGACGTAAGCATCTGAAGATTTTTGTATCTTTGGGGTTTCCTAGAACCACTACGGCTTAGAGACCAGGAGGTGACTGTAATATAGGTCAACCCACAAAGTAGGAGACAAATAAATGCCCTCCAGGTGCCCTGATCTGTATAAGATTATACAGCCTTACTGAAATAATGTTGACTTGAGATGAGCCTTTACATTATGTTGGCTTTACATAAACAATTCAAAATAAGAAGATTAAAAAACAAAAGGAGTATAAATTATTATTTTCATTTAGAGTATAGAAATCCAACCAGAGAATCATTTATGACTGAATCAAAAGAGGTAGTTTTTTAATCTATTATAGATGTAATTTCTAAAATCTTTAGATTTTAGGTCAATTTTTCAGTATTTCTTGTCATGAAATAATGTCTTTGGTCCCATAGCTCATGCTCTAACAATGTATTTAAAATAAGCACTTGGCCCAGACTGGTGTGGCTCAGCTGGCTGAAGCATTGTCCTATAAACGGAAGGGTCATGAGTTTGATTCCCGGTCAGGACACATATCTAGGTTGCAGGTTCGGTCCCCAGTTAGGGGGTGTATGAGAGGTAACCAACTGATGTTTCCCCCTCTCATATCAATGTTTCTCTTTTTCTCCTTCTCTTCTCCTTTCTCTATAATCAATAAGCATGTCCTCAGGTGAGGATTTAAAAAAAGTCATTCATAAAGAAAGAAGTACATTTTTCAGTGTAAATAGATATGACATGTCTCCAAAATATCGAGCTAGATGAAAAAAGCAAGATGATGAAGAAGTACATATATTATTTTCCCACTTGAAAAAAAAAGAAAAGAAAAATTAAACTGTATGTCCATAGCGACTTTGGAAGGATACATAAGAAACTATTAACAGTAGTTCCCTTAAGGAAAGGGAACTCATTCTTCAGCCTTTTTTCTTTTGATCTGTCTGGGGTTGGGAATCACATGTTTTTCTTTTTTAAGAAAAAAATGTAGCTTAAAAAGTAAATATAAGAATGACAAGGAAAACAAACAAGCTACTTTCCCATGCCTTTTATGAGGAAAGTGAAACATGGGACGCTTTGGTTCTAAGAGCTTTGTAAAACATCACCAGGTTTTTTAAAAAGAACTTGAACATGTCCCTTCCGAGTGCAAGCTTCATGTGGCTTATTATGACGCCTGCTCTTTTTCTTCTAACTCCAGAGAGTCCACCAAATTTGTATGAAGGAACAAATGAGGCCAACATATAGTCAATCTTTTAAATTAACAACAGGGAGTGAGATGATATTCAACAATTATTTTTTATTTTATTTCAGTTAAATCAAGTGAGTTTATTGTACTTAAAATGTTTTAAAAAACAGACACACATAAAAGTGTAACACTGGTTAAGTATCAAACTCAATGAATTATCAGCCAAACACACCCATGTAACCATCATCGAGATGAAGAAGCAGAACTCTACCCGCACCCAGAGACCCCTGTGGGCCCCCCTCTGGGCCCCCCGGGAGCCCGCTAACCTGACTTCTAACAGCACGGATTTCGTTAGCCTGTTTTTGGCCTTTCTATAAGTAGAATCTCGTACTGCAGATTTTATTCTGTGTCTGGCTGTTTTAGTTCAATATAATGAATAGGAGATTCATCTACATTACTGTTATTGTAAATCATTTATTTTCTTGGGACTATTACAAATAGTGCTGTCATGGACACTCTAGTATGTAGCTTTTGATGGCCACGTGCACAATGACAGACTAATAAGCAGAGATGGTATCTTTTCAATAATTGGTCTCTTTAAATTCAACCCCTTTCTAGTTTCTGCTTCCCTGACAGTCCCCCACCCCCAGGGGGTAGGACTAAAGGAGCAGTACAAGGCTTTGCTCCTAAGCGGACCTGCTCTTCCACCCCCCCCCCAAGAGGGGTGACATGAGATGACGTTATCCAAACTGGTGCTAAATTAGCCAACACTTTCTTTTTTTCGTCGTGGCAAACTAGATTAAAATCAACCGTGCACTGTGGCAGATTTCGGGGCTGAATGGCCCCAGGTAGCAACCAAACCCATCAAACACAGATGCTGTTGGATGGGGCAGCCTTGGACCATATCCAGTGGAAAGCTAACAAGTTTTGAGTAATGCAAATAAACAAAGCAATGCCACAATCCCAAACACGCAGTGTGCGTGGTCTGGTTGCAGAGTACATACCAGTTTACATGCCATTCTTTTCTTAGTCTTTATATCTTGTGCTAAGTACACTTTCCCAAAGGCCCCCCGAGGAATGAAATCGGAGCCAATATTCCTGTAAGTCAGCTTCCAGGGGACGAGGAGAACATCAGAGTCTATCTGATAGCGTCCATTTTGGGGGGTGATTACCTACAACAAATAAAAATGCAGGAGAGTGAGAATCCCAGCAAAGTCCTTTTCTAAGACACGCCCTCTAAAAACTGGTTACTTTAGATGGCACTCCTCCGTGCAGTGTCTGACATTCGTGTCACTGTGTGTAATCATAACAGTGTGCAGGGACTATATTTAGTTTTGGCAAGGCAGAGAAAGCATGTAACAGAGACATGTCCATCCCTGGTCGGACCTGATCAGATTTCCACCTACTCAGGAGCCATTAATTGCCAAGTAGAACGTAAAAATTATTTACCTAAGGGAGCGTGACTACGAGGCCGAAAATAAAGATTGCATAAACATACACTGTGCCTGCAAGGTGACTTGCTTCCAATTAGACTGTGCAAGCCTGTTAGTCCACATAGCTATTACTCACACATGATGCACCCAGAGAGAGTGTGGAAATAGACTGAGGATCACGGAGGACTCTGAAAAACAAGGTGTTATGCCAGAGCTATGAGTTGACAGTGCTACCTGAATAAAGTAAGGGCAGAATTATTTCTCATCTACTTACTCACTTAACATTTATCGAGTGCAAAATATGTGCCAGGCACTGTGTTTGGTGCTGGGGAGGCAGCTAGGCCTAAGAGACAGATGACCCCTGACCTCCAAGAGTTCATGAGCAAGCACTCAGAACAAGAGATTTCAAAACCAGTCCACTCCAAAACCAAGGGATGTATTCTGACAGCAGTGTGGATTACGAGCAGCTGCATTTGTAAAAACTCGTCAAACTGCACATTTAAGATCTGTGTATGTTACTGCATATAAGGTCTATCTCAATTTTTAAAGAGTGAAATATTAAACAGAGAAATAACTAAAATCAAAACAAATCATTAAGGTAGTCCGTAAGAGATATGACATGGATACAGGCCTGAAAAATGTTTCAAGTGTTTTTCCAAGGGATAAAGTATCTCAAAAATACAAGTGTTTCCTCAGTGTGACCAGATGATGAATTCAGGAATCATGGAACTGCCAAGCAGCATCACGTTACGAGTACAGATAAAGCGAAAGGCGGCCGCGGGGCACAATGGGAGGGAACGGATACCTGGTTCACCCACAGACACTGGGGGGGGCGGGGCGGGGGGCGCGGCTGCCCCTGAAACGGTTCCAGTAGCCGGCGGAAGGGCTATTCGCTCGGTCTGCACAATGCCTAATCTTAGCGGCGCACTCCGCAAAGAGATATGCTCACTATTAGGGCATGAAACAGAGTAACCTGAATACTCAGAAATGTGAAGTCGCTTCAGTGAAGAATGAAATATTTACTGAGCAGTGCCTCCGTGGGACCCCGCGCAGAGCCTTGGAGGGAAAATGACTGAGGGCAGACCACAGACTTAACTCGTCTGAAATATGACCTCCTTTCAAGAAGTGTGTCACCTCGAGTTACGAGTTACAGGAGGCCTCTTTTTCCAGATAAGAATGTGATGAATCTAGTCCCCTCCCACATTCAGGCAGAACCATGCTCACACCACATTTGACTGCACTTGAATACTACCTTTCTTTTTTAAAAAAAAGATAGAGACACATAATTTACATATAAAATAGTTTCTTACTTGCCTTTCTTGTGATTACATATTTACAGATCCAATTTCACCAGAGACTCTTGGTTGTCCACTTCAGTTTTTAACTCACTGCCATGAAAGCTTTACTTTTGTTTAACCAAATTGTGTTATAATCCAATTTGACCTGTGACCTCTTACTCTGTCTCAGAGGATGAAGCATATAATAGCAGCCACATACCCAGTGCCAGTTATCGAACAGGCACTATACTCAGTACTTTGCACATTATCTCATTGAAATCTCACAACAGTCCTACACAGCGCTATTTTTATCTCCTTTCTAAAGATGAGAAAACTGGCTTCAAAGGTTAAGTAACTCGAGTCAGTGACAGAGTCAGGATTCAAACTCAGAGCTGTCTGACCCCAATGCCACCACTCCTATCCTTTGGATAAGAGCCTTTTATCTCCCAGGAAGCTATAATTAAAGCTAAGCCACGACCCAAACCAGTTATTAAAAGCCTATGTTTACATGTCACTGAACACACCTTAGCCTTCTCTTCTTTGGATCAAGTCCTACAAGGGCCTTCACCCCTATTTCACAGTCTGCCGCAGTCCACGCGTCCCCTCCGAATGCCCCACAAGGTCTCCATGGCCACCTTTGAGGACAGGCCCTGGTGTACAGGGTGGCAGGCTGCTTTGCAGCTCTGCACAGCCCCTGGGTGTCCCCTTGCCCTGGACCTCCCCTATTTGGGTTTGAGATGTTTTTGTTTTCCCCTTCTTCTTCTTTCTAGGGGCCCTACCAAAGAATCTTGTGGATCTTTGTGTTGCTTGTTTCTGCCAATTCTTCAACTGCAAGTGCAGATATGATAAACCTTTGACTTCTTCATTCAGGTCACTGTCACAGGTACTGAACAATACTGGGCCAGGAGTGGCACTGACATACCCAGAAAAATCCTTAGGTATTTCAGTAAAAATAAACTTCATAAGAGACCCATGTGATGCAGCTGCTATGAAATGAATGAGTCCTCAGGCTCCACGAAAAGAGCCAATGACCTAGAACAGAGGCACAGCCGGCCCTGTCTCACTCTGCTGGTCCCACCACAAATGGCCTGCCACACTCACGTTCTGGGCTTCGGGACAGGCACTGCACAGGCCTGCATTAAGAGGGAGCCCAGATGATGGGGAGAGCTGACACTACAATCCCCGAGGGGTAGCAGACACAATGAGATGGGCTTGTGAAAGAGGAGAGGAAATGTGGGGAACAGGCGATTTTCAAAGTATTACCAGGACTGTCACGAGGAAGGAGAGCAACAATTATATACAACAAATACCGCAATGGTTCGTGTTCTTTCAACACTCACTATGTGTAAACAGGTCAGGTGCCTTCATCATTCTTTCTAACAACAACTATGGGGTAAGTGCTGTCATGTTACCCATTTTCTAGATGAGTAAACTGAGGCACAGAGGGGTGTGCTAAGTAGTTCAAAGTCACACAGCTAATCCATTTCAGAGCTAAGATACATACACAAACAGTTAAATCTATGGACTCACATTCACAGTCTTCCCCACTACTTATTCCATATACCATTTGATGGCCAAAGAGTAGAAAGAGGACTAAGAGGAATCAGAGATGGATTTTAGTTTTATTGAAGGAAGCACTGTCTTATAATCAGAATTGGCCAAATATGAAATTAAATGTCCCACGACATGATTAACTCTTCAACATAGCTCTAGCAGTTATTGGAGATGATAAGTGGGGTGATTTCAGCATCAGACAGGAGATGGTTTGATCAGTATCTTTAAGGTTTTTCTAGCCCCAAGAAGCTGAAACCAGCCTCTGAAGAACAGCATGCAGCATCTCACACCCATGTCTGGGAGGGAGCCTTGCGGGCTCCTCATATCATCACAGAGTCAAGTATGTGGAACCCACTTTAGGTCATTCACCCCAGATCAGGTTATGAATTGTCTAGACTATCACTAACCTGAAAAGCACTCTTACACAGAGCAACCCCAGTGTTAATCTCCTAAAGTTTCTTCCCTGGTTCTGCTGGGAGTTGGTGGAATCTTTATGAAGAATTTTTAGGAAAAGAACATCTATCTGCATACACACGTGGACCATCATTTAACATGGCTGTGCTTCAGGATATTTTTGTAATTCCTAGGGTGTGGTACCTCCACCCTAGTTAACCAATTGCCTCCACAGGCGCTGTGGTGCTTGGTTGCCTGGAACAGTCCTTGTCTCCACGCCTCCAAGCCTTTGCACATGCTCTTCTCTTCAGCTGGAATACTCTGCTCCCCACCCCTTCATCTGGCTGACTCTAACTCAATAACTTAGGCATCAATTCCCCTTGGAAGCCTCTCCGACAATCTCCTGGCCGCCCCACCCCCCACCCCATGGCTGTGTGAGGTACTGTCTGACCATCCCCACAGCAGTCATAGCGTAGTTGTTCTGGGAAGTACCACATTGCATTATAATCGCCTGTTTACTTGCCTCTTGCAATCGCCTTGCAGTAAGCTACCAGAAGGCACAAACCGTTCAGCACCGTATCTCCAGCATCTGGAAAAGCACTAACACACTGGGGCTGCTCCAGCTATGTCTACCAAATGAATGGTGAACACTTGAATGAAAGCATTTGGCCCATGCGTAGATACATTAACAGTAGATTTTGTCATGGAACCAAGCTATTTGGTAGATAATTAGATGACATTTTATAAAGCAGAGAGACAGAGCAGCAAATGAAGCCCCAGAGAGAAAAATTTTGAGAGGGTAGTAGGGGGAAGACCATGGGAAGAGAAAACTTTTGACCACAGGATGGTTCCAAGGAAACCCCGATGTGAGGATGAAAAGGAGCTAAAGTAAACCTGTGTCCTGTACCATCTTGTCTCTGGCTACGATCAGGGATAGAAAGCATGTTTCCTACGTCATTACTCATGAAACGCAGAGCTGTGATAGGCTGCAGCAGCCACAGGGACTGATCTGATTCTTAAGGGCAACGACAGGAAAGCCAACCATGGTCCCAGAGGCATCGGACACTGGGCTGGTTTCCCCGGTGAGGTGCGGTCTACGTCCCCGTGGATTTTAAGGCTTTCTTGCTATTCTGTTTTGTTTTTAGGTCTGCTTGCTTTATATTTTACATTCCTGATCATTTTTAAAGTAAAACATCTTTTTTAAGTTTTTGAGATCCCTGCCTTATAATTGAGCTTGCCAAAAAGTTCGTTTAGTTTTTTTCGTATGATGGATCTAGTAGTGCTTAGCTGTCTTTAACTTCATTCAGAATAATTTTGTTACATTGTATTGTGACAGCTGTCATATCAGCATGCATTTCCAAAAAACTTAGCAAAATTGATGCATTTTTGTGTATCCACTTTAACACTGATGGTGCCTTGCGAAGTTTCTTGGTTCTGCGGCCATTTGGCCATAAAACTCTTTGCTGTGGGGCTGCCCTATGCGTGGGAAGATGTTTAGCAGCACCCCAGCCTCTACCCACTAGAAGCCAATAGTGGGAGATAGCAACACACTCAAAATATCCAATTAATAGAGTTATTGATGAAAATGAAAGTTCAGTTTGAGGAAAAGAACTAAATGAACATTTTGGCAACCCAATATATGTCCTATTCTTAAATTTCCTCCAAAATACGGATTTCTTCATTGACAGGGCATAGACCTGATGACAGAAACTGACACTCTACTCTGACCGTCACATCTAGAATTTCCACTTTCTTTAAATGTCTTCATTTCTCTCCTTTTCTGAATTGGCTTTTTTTCTTTAAGCTCCAAAACCTTCAGGTTATAAGTTTCCTGAATTGCTTCTGTGTATTCCCAGTGAAGGTCTGTGTCCCGACTCTCACCAGTCTGAGGGGCCAGGGGAAACACACCTGAGTCTCTACAGATTTACAAGCTAGAATAATTTGTTTATTCTGCATGTTCTCCCTTAAAATGTCCATTTTGACAAGTAAATGTTAAAAAAATAAATACATAACCAATTATGTTTGTCACTATAGGCATATATATATATATATATATATATATATATATATATTGAGCTGAAGTTCTTCAGCTGTATTTTAACTACAAAAATCAGGTGTTGCTTCTAGTTTAATGATTAGCTGAAGTAATATTCTCAATGTAAAGTACTTAGTCAACTATTAAATACAATTTGGTACACCAGACCAAAATAAATCATACAACTATGTAAAATGTAATCTTCCTCCAACTTGAACTACAGATGAACATTACTGACTTCTAATAAAATAATTCACTACACAGCTATCCTAAATTACTGCGTTGTTTTTAAACAAACTGAATGAATGTAGTATGCAGAAAACCCAAAGGAATTAAATTCTTTGTCCAGACTCTTTACTGCTCAGCACTGACCTTCCCCACACATTGGCCACTCTGATGTTTACATGCATCAAAGTCAAAGGAGTCACTTTCATCAATAAGCATGCTCTGCAAGTTACCACCTACTACTTTGTTAATTGTTCTTTTTCAAAAATCAGATCACCTTTAGCCAACACCTACAATCACCTCTGACACACTAAGAGGCTGAGAGAAGGCCAGGCACACCTAAACACATCACCTGATCTGCCCGTGTGGCAACAAAGTGTTGTCATAATATTTTGGATTATTTGCATACTTGGGTCTAAGCAAATATGTCATGCGTCATCCATACCGTGTCAATTAAAGAGAGTGAATCTATAGATAGCTATTTACTGCCTGCCCACTACGTCTCTACAACTGAATTTAGTCAGTATTGATGCTGTGACTTTTCCAGATGTGACCAGGAAAAAAGAACAAATAACCCACCTTCCGAAATATTCATTATTCCCCCCTCCAATGAAGGAGTCTCATTAAGTCTTTCTCTTCTTCCTAATGAGTCAGCTTTTTAATTAATTGTTAAATTAAAATACACTTCATCTCCTATTTGTAGAACTACTACCAAAAATGTTTAATGGAACTTTTAATGAAGACTCTTTTTGTATCTTTAACATGAAGATGATTCTTACAAATATAACATTAAAAAAAATCCTACCTGGCAGCCAATGTAAAGCAAGTTCAAGTGCCACTGTGCATTAAATGAAGCTGCAGGAGCTATGCTATACACAGAGCACTCAACTGACCGGGAAAAGACATACCATATTTAACAAAATTCCAGACTCCTGTCGTCTGTGTCCATAAAGACGCTTTGCAGTATTGGATATGTGGTTTGCAAAAGCCAGAAGGTCCTCCACGGTTCCGTATCTGACTGAGGACAGCCACGGCCCCTCCTGGCCACTGAGCAGCAGGGACTCCGAACGCTCCTCGTTCTGATTGCTGTCTTGACACACGGTCATTAGGCTGGGTTCGTAACCCGCTGGCTCTTCACTTGTGTAAAGATTTTCCATGATGTCTATTACATCAGACACATTCAAGTGTTTAATTAATAAATCAATCTCTTCTTTATTATCACTTCCAGTGCTCATGTACTCCATCACTGTTGTGCTTTCCAGAGAGCCTGCAAAAGAAAACATAAATACTATGTTCACTATATTTGTGTTTCGGCATTTGAAATCTGTGGGAAGGTGACATAAAATGATAGGGCTTCTACATGTCTTTATTTAAAACATGAGGGCTCTGTGTCTATAGATGTGTGAGTTCAAGTTGACAGGGAAGCAAGGGACCTTAGATAACCTTTAGCCCAGCTCACTCACTTTGCAGAGGGGAAACCTGAGATCCAGACAGCTTACTCCTTACTGACTAAGTAGGTGGCATCAGCCATAGCCATTGAAAACAAACTTTCCCTAAACACAAACAGCTCAGGAATCCCAGGAGCTGAGGCTCCAGGTCCTTTACAGCTTCCAACCCCGCAGCTCCCCCAAGGTGGCAACCCTCCCTGCCTGGGTGGGTCTCATGCCTTTTATGCCTTGGGTGTTAAAGGAAAAAGAACTACTTTACCACATTCAGGAGCTAACCTCACAAATAAAATTCAGGCCCCAGAGCTAGAAGCATGTTAAATGGACTTTAATTTAAGCAAATTGATGATAATAGGTCAACGTTCAGGAATAATTCTGATGCAAATGACTTAAACAGCTCAGTTAGACATGGGAAAAGCCTCAAATCCACCTCTGCCGGGGAAGGGTATGAAAAAAGGAAGATTCATTTAACCTGTGAGTCAGCTGGCCTCCCTTGAGACCAGAATTTTTTACTACAAGGCATACACCTCAAGGTGCCAAGAAAGTTAACACATAGATCAATGACCCTGTAGAAGTCGTGGACTTACAAACAGGCCAAGAAAGCCAAATTTATCATAGGCCACACTCAAATTAAGACCAATCAACTATATTAGCCACTACTGTACTTCTGTTCTTACAGACCCATCAGGTGCTACATCTGGGGACTTGTAAATGAGAAAAAGAAGGTAAGCCAAGGGTAAAATGATGCTCAGAATTTTAGAACAACTCTACTCCAAAGAATTAAAGATAAAAAAATGTAAGCGACCTAAAAGAATCTGGAGGTCTGTATATCTTCTTAAACCATCGTACCCCCCAAAGCACAGCCCCCGCTCTGAAGGTGTCAGAGATGCACAGGAGCACAAGCCTAACACATCCCATACTCAGAGCCGAAAGGACTGCCTGGAGCTGCAGTGCGAGGCTCCAGGAAATGTCCCACGGGCAACGCACCACTAGCCACCGGCCTCTGAGTGCACCTCCTTTCAGACAATAACCACGCAATATACAGATGATATATTACAGAATTGTGCACTTGAAACCTATATAATTTTTTTAACAAATGCCACCCCAATAAACTTAATACAATTTTTTAAGTTAAATACTTTAAAAACTAACAAAAGAACCATACAATGTTGTGTCATCATTAACTTACTTGACATTCATTTTCTGATGTGATGTATTGAGCTTCAGAAAAGCCATGTAGCATCCCGCAGTCTGAAGTTCCATCTAGACTCACACTGCCTGGGATCAAATCTTGGCCCCTCTTTTAATGTCTGCATGACTTGGGCTATAGCACCTTAGCTGTGCACCTCAACTCCCCCATTCGTTGAATGGAATCACAACCACACCTACCTCACAGGACGGCTGTGAGGGTTAAAGGAGCTCATGTGCTTGGAGCAGTGTCTGGTAAAGAAGCGGTGTCATTTGTAAGTGCTATTCTGTGCATAAAAGACACAAGGACTGAGTCAGCCACCTGGCTTTGCAGATATTGCATTAGGCCTCCTTTCTTATCTGCAAATGGGATGTGGCTACCTAGTCCCCAGCTTCTTCACAGTAAGGTTTTAAAGATTGTATCTAAAACAAAAGACAAAGAAAAAAAAGGCAAAACCCTACAAAATGTTTTGATGGCTGTCATCACCACAGTTGCACCGAGGGAGAAAAGAAAGCTCCCTCTCAAAATCGTATACATTCTTGGAGTCTGTTGAGTTATGAAAAGAATTTCTCCAGTTAAGGGAGGAACACTGACTTGGGTTTCATTGAGCCATTTAGTTGCAGTTTCTACTTGTAGAATTTACTGAAAAACAGAAGTTAAAACAAAAATAGCCTGATCTAGGACCCCACTGACTGGAAAGTTCCAAGGTTGCTGGACTGACTTATCAAATGGCTGACTTGAGAGAAAATAAAGTTCCTGATACTAATGTGACTCAAGAAAGAAGAGGAAAAGTCCGTACAGTTTACAAGTCAGTCAGCTGATCCAGAGAGGAAAGGCAGGTTACCATTTTTAAATCCTGCAGAAATGCTCAAGTATTTATATGTAAAACCTAAGTAAGAGCTTCAATACACACAACCCTAAACTTCACAGTGGGGCAGGGCAGGGCAGGAGGGGGAAGGGAGCGGGAGGGAGGCCATGAAGGAGGGCAGGAGAGGTGGAGGAGTGTATGACTGAGTGTATCATCAGAGCCAGGCATAATTCCTTAGCAACACGAAGCTCCTCTCACGCAAACCAGCGCTCCCGGAGCAGCCCTGATGACCAGTCCGCCCACTAAGTACCCCTGCAAGGAGCTTCAGCACTTTCAAGCCTAAATTTAGCAGACATTTTGCAGATTTCCAAGTTATGCATGACCAGTACCCAGGTAGAAAGTGTGGATTGTGAAGGTATTGGACTTTAACGATAAAGACCCTTCCCCACATGGTTTAAAATCTTCATAAAATGCCTACTTCTTAATAAAGTAGGTGACTGTGCCACTTTTAGAAATGGAGAGATGGGTAAATACAGTAAAAATGATTTGCTTCAAATTACTTCAGAAATCATCCATTAAACCAAGAGGAAATCCTATTGCTAAACATTAAGGTTAAACTCTTGGCCCCATGCATCTATGAAAACAAAAGTGTGGGTTCCTGGCAAATAGGAATAAAAGTGGCTAAGGTTACAGGCATCAGCTTCTGCCTAACAAAGGGTGATCATACCCGAATTACTTCCCATTTAAGCAATTTTTCAGCCAAAATAGCACACTGACCCTCAGGGCACATCTCTTAGTAATCTTTTTGCTAACAAAAAGCCCCCGAATGATGCAGTTAGCTGCGCAGAAGCACAGCCACCCTGCTTCAGAACCTCTAGATGCCTCAACCACCTAATTTTCCGTATAGAGTTTACACAAATCCAATCCGTCACAGTTGGGGGCGTCTGCTGGAAGCAGATTATATTCTACTTGGCAAATACCTGAGACTTAGGCCGCAGATCCGTAAGGCAGCTGTACTACTCTTTCGTTCCCTGTTCTTATCAGGACGACCTTTATTATGGATCAAAATATCTCTCTCCAAGAGTGAAACAGGTAGACACTGTAATGTCTTCACTTGAAGACAGCTCGTGGCCTTATCTGTCTACTTTTGGGATAAGCTCGTGCTGCCTTCTAAGCACTGTTCTGCGCCCAGAACTAGAAGAATTTCGGAGTCCTGCTATCGCATTACCACTGGGAAATATCTGCGAAATTACTTTTCGCCCCGTAATATTCTTAGACCAAAGCCCAAGCATTCGTGTTCTGCTATACTCACCCTTTACTGGAGGATATAAGCATGAAATTAAGTTTCGGCTCTTCAAACTCCTCTTTGCTCCGCCAACTCCCCCCGCCCCGCCGGCGCAATCCCCTCCTCCCGTTCCTCAAAGTTAAGGGAGCTTTTAAGAGTTTGTCAATTTGAAAGCGCCCGTCCTGTGGCCGAGGGCAGCAGGGCCCCCAGCCTCTGAGGTGCACTCACTGGGAATCGGCACGGAAAATGCAGCCGTCCGGGAGGCATTCGCGGTGGAAAGCGAGGCGGACAGGGTCCCTGCTTCCCCGCGCACTGTCCGGCGAGCACTGCCGGTAAGCTCGGGATCCGGGAAGGAGGAGGAAGGGGGCGGAGTCGCGAGTCCGCGGCGCGTGAGACCCTTGCGCAAGGTGCTTTCCAGCAGCGGTGGCCGCAGCCGCGACCGGCCGGGAGGACGGAAGCGCAGCCGAGCGAGAGGCCGGCACGCCCCCACCGTCAGGAGCCCCGGTATCTACCCCCTACGGGGAACACACTCCCTCTCAGCAAGAGAGGTGGGGTATCAGGGAGAGCTGAGACCAGAAGATAACCCCCTACGCCCCCGAATTCTAGCTTACCTGCTGCCTCCGCTTGCCCCCGCAGCCTGGGCGCTCCAGCGACCACCCCCCGACGGCTTGGCGCGCAGCGGGTGGCCGGCCCTCCAGAGCCGGGCGCGCCGGGACACCGAGGTCCGGTGGTGGAAGAGGCTGGAGCCAGGGCGACCGGCCCCAGAGCGTGGTGCCTGGTCCAGACCGGTGCGGACTAACGAGCCCCGGGCGTCCACGTCTGCCCCTGACTCACAGCGTCTGAGCCGGCAGAGGGGCGGCGCAGCGCAGGCTAGCCACCGCCTCCCCGCCTTTTCCATTTCCCCTTTCTCTCCGTAAACAGAAAGAATTGCGGGGAAGCCGAAGCCCCAGCGCAGGGAAATTCCGTCCTCCCCGCCCCCCCCCGCCCCGTTTGCCCTCGGGGCTCCCGGGCGGAGTTGCAGGCGAGCTGAGGGAGGAGCGAGCGTCTTTTCGGGAGGAGCTGGCTCTGAACACCGGAGTCGGGGATCGCCACGCCATCTAGGGGCCGGGAACAGTAGTCGAGCGCCTGGGACACCCTTGAGTTTTCCCTTGGACCTGGTGGCTGGGAAACCTGGTGGAGTTACAAAGCATGCCTCCACGCCTGTTCCGGATCCCAGGAAGAAGATCGTATCCCCTAATGAGCCTGCGCCCTCGGTGTTATTCTGGTGTTCCAGCCCCAGGCGGCGAGCCGCCCGGGCCCTTTCCAGGGCCACCATGCCCTTGGCGACTACGGTGCCTGTGTTGTCCCCTCTGCGCTGCAGGAGGCTCAGTAGCGTCTGGCCTCCTTTAGCCTCGTCCAGGTTCCGGTTCAACATCAAACGCGCAGGGATACTGCCGGTGGCTCCGGACCCACGTACTTGGGCTTAAAGGTTTGGTTAAGGCTGTAGCAGGCTGGGCCAGAACCTGGAAGACGAGCAACTGGAGCGGCGCTGGTGTACTCCGCCGGAAAAACCTGGTTTTATTTTTTATTGGACCTGGTTATTTTATGTCACCGCCCCGGTACGAATTGTGTCAACTGATCTCTTCCTCCTAACTCCAGCTGTGAGTCCGGGATTCTCTATCCTGATTGGAAAGAAGATCAAAGATCGTTTATAGTGTTCTTCCTTATTGAGTGGAAAGTGTTTACTCCAGATAAAGCCGAAATACAATAGTTCTAGGAAAATAGCTCCTCTTTTCGTGAAACACTTGGCAGGACATTCCCAGTACTTACTGAGTTGCAGCCCGCCCTTCGCTTCCCCCACGCCCCACCCCAGCCCCCAACAGTGCCTTAATGTCAAGCACTTACTATGAGCCAGACATTTGGCAAGACAGCCCTGAGGAGAGATACTAGGCAGACATCCCCTGTGTCTTATCCACCTGGCAGCACTCGGATTCAAAGGCCTCACCACTCTGAGGCCACGCCCCGCCCTTTCGAGAACCCAAGCTCGTTCAAAACTGCATCAAAATCTCCACGTGAACTCAGGAAGTGGAGGAGTCCCAGGCGCCTGGTGGAAAAGCCCTTCTTGGGGACTTGCCTTTCAGATTCTGGAGCGGGGGGGGGGGGGCGATGCGAGACTTGCACCAACCCTGGGGCTCTAACTGGGCAGGGATTGCATGCCCAGGAAGCTGGGGAGAACCCCCCTGGTCTGGACTGGAACTCTGTGGACTACGGCCAAGTCTCAAGAGCAGATTATCCCAGTCTTGGCTGAAAATGAAGTTCGAATGCTTTTTTTTTTTTTTTTTCTGTAAACCAGGTTGGCCAGGTTGTTACTTCCAGTGGTAGCCTGAGGCCAGTCTGTCCATCATCTGCTGTCTTTGACCGAGAAGGAGTGATCTTTATAAGCATTTTAAAAATAGAAACATGGAACCATTCTGCCCCCACCCACTTGAGTGAGATCATTAAAACCACACCTAATCTTCTGGGAACTAAGTATTAGCCTAACTTCCAAACACAGCTGCATTTTAGGGACTGAAGAAATAGTTGGTGCTGCAGGGTTCTCTCTGGCTTACCCCAGAGAAGATCTCACTTAACAGTGAATTAAGAGGTGTTACCCAAAACCGTTTTAAAACTCTGTCAGAGATTGTATCTGGTGAGTCAGAAGAGACTGAAGGAGAACTAAAAAGAAAGAAAAAGTTTGCAAAACTCCTTGTGTTTTTCTTGATGAGACTTTCTTATTCTTTTTTAACTATTGACTTTAGAGAAAGAAAGGAGGGAGAGAAACATCAGTTTGTTGTTCCAGTTATTTATGCATTCATTTGTTGCTTCTTGTGTGTGCCCTGACCAGAGGTGGAACCCCCAACCTTGGTGTATCTGGACAACATTCTAACCAACTGAGCTACATGGCCAGGGCTTCTTTGATCAGGACCATTAACCTGGGCTTACAAAAGTGATCCCATGCTTTTAGGAGTGCTAGGAAAGTGAGGTTTAACCTGGCCAGAGAGAAGCTGCCTGAGCCAGTGCACACAGGTGGTGGAGTTACTCAAGAAGCCATTATCCAGTACATTACCGACCAGACCTCTTGAAGCCGTTGGCAGGAAACAAAATGCACTTTAAAAATAACTTGTAGCTTGAAGAGTCTTTCTCTCCAGTTGCAGGTGGGGGCAGCAGTGGGTCTGTAATCTGTAGTTTGGAAATCAGAACTTACTCATGGAATCAAAATCATTGACACTGGGTAGGTCACTCGACACTGCATTGGCCTATGGAACCCCACGTGGGGCTCTATGCTAGTAAATATAACAGGACATTGCTTGCCAGTATTTTGCATACTTATAAAATACAATATTTTAGAGAATACTGGGACAAATTGGAATAAATTAGGGGATGCCTACATGTGGGTTGGTGGGAAATGTGTTTGGTTTTCTTAAATTGTAACAATAAAATACAAAGATTTCAAGGAAGATAATTAAATACTGATTTTGAATAAAGCTTTAAATAAGATATTTTTAAAGAGGAACTTGAGCCTGGCTTCATGAGCATAACTGTTTTCTATTGGGAGGGCCAAAAAAGTTTGTTTCACTTTTTTTCTGCACAGCAGCTCTAGTAGCACTTAGTTGTCTTTAACTTCATTTGAAACAACTTTGTTGGATTGTATTGCGACAGCTGTCATATCAGTGTGCATTAAAAAAAAACAACTTAGCAAATTGGCGAACTTTTGTAGCCATTTTAATATTGAAGATGGAAGAAAATGCACAACTTTTCAGCATATTATGCTTTATTAT